CCTCCACTTATTCTTATTTTTCCGAGATGTAGAGTGAAAGTCGCGACCCGAATGCCTGCGATGCCCGGTCGCTATTTTGCATTATGAGCCCTGCTGGAAGATCTTGACCTTTGAATGCGCGCGCCGCGGCCCTCTCCTCTGTGCGTCGGGCTGGTTGGGCTCTTGTGCTGGCGGCGGCGGCACACGACGTTATGTGACATGAAGAAACAGAGAGAGAGAGAGAGAGAGAGAGAGAGAGAGAGAGAGAGAGAGAGAGTGGAGTGAAGGGGGCAAGTAGAGGGAGGAAGAGGAAGAAACGAGAAGATGGTGCAGCTTAGACGTACCTCACCCTATCGTGTGTACTTCGCAGTCCAAAAATCCGCCCCCCCCCCCTCAGCTTCACCCAGCGCCTACGCTCTGGACCCCGTTCCCACATCCCCCTCCCCCTTCCTATCCCTTGCTCTACCGCCCTCACTTTTCCCTCCCGACTGTTTGCCCTGCTTAACCTCAAATCGACCGGATCCGCTCCGTTCCGCGGCCGCCGGCCCGCCCGTTGCGCGATCCTGCAGCAGCCGAACAACTGCCTCGCGAACTAGATCAGCGCGCCTGATCAATGCGAACGGAAGCAACACGCGGCTGAGGTCGGGAAGCATGCTTTTGTCTCGCAAACCAACGGAATTCTCATTCTAATTCATCATCTTGACTACCTCTATTTTATTCTATAAATTTTACCCCCTCTTGAATAGCAGTATCCCGCATACCGCTTCCGATTTCCATAGTTGAAGCAGGGATCGTCCAGAAAGTGCGTCCGTTTCTCGCAGTTTTGAAAAATTCCGGGAGCTTGGCGCCTGCGAGACTCGGGGTAGGCCACCCCGCAGTACACCCACGCACGGCAGGCGAGATGTTGCCTAGCAACCAGGCGCTACGAGGGCTTGTAGTGAGAATGAAACGGCAAATGACGGACCTACCTTCTACATGATCATGATCTCTTACTGTATCCCTCTGTCAGCTGCGGCTACCGAAGTAGGCTTCATGTTACATTCGCACGGTATAGTGCTGGGTGTTCCACGGCGGACACTACAGTGTTGCGGGGCTCCATACTCGCTAGAGGCTGTGGGAGCCTTACGCGCGAAGGGAGTAGGCTAACCCGACCCGAACGCTCATCCCTACCTCTGCCAAGCATGGTGTGAGGTCCGGCTGACAGAGGGGACGATGCAACGCAGGGTGGGGTTGCCTACATACAGTGGGTTTGCAGCACAAATTACCTACGCTCTTTTACGTGTGGCCGAGTTCGTGGTCTTCGGATTCACTGTAAAAACTTACGTGACATGTGTCACGTCAATTGATGTGACCAGTTTAGGCCACACCATGTATGATGTGATAATAGTTTCGGTCACATCAATTGATGCAACATTAGAACTACGAGGTATTAGCACTCAAGAGGTCACACCAAAACGTGACCAAAAATGTAGTCACACCACACATGCGACACACCAAGGGATGTCACACTTGTCACATTAGTTGTTCCTTGTGTCTCGCGGTCATCGGGTCCTGAGAGGTTTGGCGCGTAACTGGCGGTACGGGAGGACAGAGAGAGAGAGAGAGGGGAGATGTACCCGCCGTGTTTTGTTCCACTTTTGGCGCTGTGTGCTGTGCGGGTGCCCGCCGAGGGGCGTGGCGGAGAGGGGGGGGGGGGTACGCCCGGGTTCTGCTTGCGAGGCGTTGCCGCCCGCGCGCTCGCCCCGTCGCCATGGCAACCTGCATGGTTACCTCTCTCCTCCTTCCTCGTTCCTGTGTGTGTGTCGCGTAGCGTTACACGTCACGGTATTGTATGCGAGCGAGAGAGGGAGAGAGAGATGTTTTGGTGCGGCTAGGGCTAATGCTTTCCGGTAGGTCAGGGAATGGCGCGCCGAATGTGTGTCAAGGGGACTCTCCGCGCGAGCAGCGGGGAGGAACACAATAGTCAAAATGACGTCAAAGTAATATCAAAGTTGTGTCAAGCTTCCAAAGTGATGTCGTTACGACCAGCGCACCCCATCCTGCCGCATAACCATCTTCTTCTCTCGGGTGCCCCCGTGACCGCACCGCCCGGACCCGGACTCGCGTGAGGGGCGCGGCGGGAGGATGCCGATCGTTTGAATGTGGTCGGCCCGGCTGCGCTGCGGATGATTGTGGGAGCTCCCGCTAACGCAGTGAAACATGTCGTGAACTGCGGTCCGGGAACAGGCACGCTGCCATTCCACTCCCCCCATGTTCCAGATCGCTGTAATACGAAACGGAGGGCACTTTTCCTCTTTTTCTGCAATTCGCCATCATTGTGTAACGTAGGTTGTTCACAATGATGAACGAAGGGTTACACTATAAACATTTGTAAGTGTGGAACTGCAGGTTGTGTTCTTCCAAGTGCTCAACGCCGTATTTGTGCTCTTGCAAGTGTTTAACTCATCAGTTGGGAACTTGCAAGTGGTCAACTTCGGCAGTTTGTACGTTTGCATGAGTGCATGTGCGACATCGCTCTGTTGAACACTTTCTCATGACACTTTGTGGGAAGTGTTTAACTGGGGAACACTTGCAAGTGCACAGCTACGGAGTCGAACAACCGCAAGTATTTTGCTTGCAGTTGCACACTTGCAGGTGTCTCACGATTGAAACCCTAGGTTTTCTTCATGTGCACTTGGCTCACTGTTGGGTTTACGGTGTATTTATTACCTCAGGGTCGTACTCGTAGAATTTCACGTGCTTGGATCTGTACAAATCTCGGTAAACAAAGTAGGGGTCGAATGTGATATGTGATGCGACTGTCCGTCCGGGAGGGTCCCCTTCGGTCCCCTTGTAGTTGTTCCGGAGTATTTCGACACGTGGCTGCGTCGCGCGCTGCTGCCGCCCGCATGTCACGAGGGTGGAAGCAGCTGCCGCCGCTGCAGCTTCTGCAGCCGCAGCTGCAGCTGCCGGGGCACGCCAGCCCGCCGGGTAGGGGGGCGCGGCCCGCCGCGGAGCGCCGCGTGGAGCCTGGCGGGGCGGGGGGCTGCTGCTCCGCGGCGAGGGGGAGCCGACGGGGGCCTCGGTCAGTGTCATCGGCGGCGGCGGCACGCCCGGACCAGCAGCTCTCCGCCGGGACCGCGACGCGAAGGTGCGGGAGTCCCGCACAATCATTTGGGGGAGGAGGGTGGGGTGGACCAATGGGTCGGGCAGATCAATTGAGATATTCGAAAGGGAATTTTTGCCGGGCACGTTTTGATTGGGGTGTGCTGTGCAGTGCTTTTGGGGATTTTTTTCGACCCATTATTTATCACCGATTTATTTGTGGAAAATTGTGCGGGACTCCCTCAGCCATCAGTGCGGTTGTCTGCGACAGGCTTCGGCGCGAGTGGCACCAAACATCGCCCAGCTCAGCTTCCCCATCAAGTGACACCCCAGTGCAACACGTGGATACGAGTGCACCATGCCGTGACGAGGTCAGCGGGGTCACAGCAGCTCTGCGACAGTATCTCCGCCCCGCCGGAAGCGCGTGGGCCGGCGCCAAGGAGATCGCCCGGAGCCGATAGAACGCCTGCCCGGTGCCAAGACGTCGACCGGACCGCACCTGCCCGATGAGCCCGCGGTGTGCGCCCGGCCATGGCGGCGGCCTCGAGGGACGCGCGCGCCCCGGGGAGACTTGCGCGGCGGGACGCACGGGAACCCACCTGAGGCTCTAAGAGCGCGGAGCAGTGCCACGACGGCCCGGCCCGCGCCGGCCGCGCCGCCCGCGCCGCCGTTACCCAACATCCTCCCCATTGTGGCTCACAAGTCGCGGCCGCACACCGCCGCCGCCGCCATGCCGCCCCCGGCCGCCCCCCGGCCCCGCGCCGTGGAGCCGGGGGCGGCAGCGGGGGCGGCGGGGGCGGTGGTGTTGGTGACCGCGCTGCTCCTGGTGGTGTCTGCCAGCCCTGCCAGCGCGCACACACATGGTAAGGACTCACTACACGGCTGGAGACTTTAATTTTCCGGAAAAGTATCTTCAGGAAGTTTCCGAATGTTTGCTTTCGTTATCTATGTTTTGTCATGAGAAATCTCTTCCTTTTTTCCAATTTTTCTGCAAATATCTCAATTTTTTTCTGGAAACGTTTCGTACTTTTCCGAAAAAAAAAAAATCGGACTTTTTTCCATAGCATGGCACACGATATCATAGGCGATGTCAAGGAAGTGACTACGATAACGCGGTTCACCCAATTAACGCATGTCAGGGAGGTCATATCTGTAAGGTTCGGAAGGACCCCTTTGCGCGGTTTGGCGTGCCGCGGGCGTCGTGCGCAGCCCGCGTCATGTAAGGTATGTGCGCTCATGGACTTGATGTCTGGCGGCGGTCACGAGCCCCGGCCCGCGTGCCGCGGATGAAAACAAGAGTGTCTGAGTTTGGACCCCC